GGGGGGGGGAGCCCCCCCTTTTTTTTTTTTTTTTTTTTTTTTTTTTTTTTTTTTTGTAACCGTTTCTTTATTTTTTGGGAGAGAGAGAGAGGGAGGAGAGAGGAGAGAGGAGGAAGGAGAGAGGAGGAAGTAGTTACGAAGCTTTTTTTTTTAAAAAAGGAATTTTTTTTTTTAAATTTTTTTTTTAATAATAATAATAATAATATTATTATTATTATTATTCTCTCTCCGCATCTTTTGTCGAATACGTCATTGCAGTGAAATGAACTTCTCCCCTAGGTAAATTCGACGTTCCGGACGCACTGATGTGGTCCGTTTCGTCGTCTGGGGTCGTTCGGACCACTTATTTTAGCAATCGGGACGAAAATAAAAATTTGAGCATTTTTTGCCCGCACGCGAATCTGTGGTCCAACGAGCGTCCTTCGTAGATAAAATCGACATTTCGGACGCACTCATGTGGTTCATTTTGTCGTCCGAGGTCATCTGCATAACTTCACCGACGAACGGGCTAATTTTAGCCAATTTCGTGCGTGACGCGATAACTAATTTTCGTCGATCATAGGTGGACGCCCTACACCTATGACATCCAAAAAAAATTGATGCCAACAAAGGACCCCCAACAAGTGTGCTGCGCGCTGAGGCACAACGCACTTGTTGGCAGCATCCTCAAAAGAAAGGCTTGCCTGGTAGTCGAGGTGACATCCCAAGAGGAGGCTATAAGATAAACCTCAACCAAGCCAGATAATACTAGTTGGGCTGATTGGTCTAAAATCTCTCCATCTTGTCCTGCTGGAAGTTTTAGGAATCAAGGTTATAGTGAAAGCATTAAAGTATCTAGGGGGATCAATACCTCTAAATAAGCTTTGCACAGCATCAACAAACTCTCAACAAACTCCCCACAGATACAAACTCCCCACAGATGATATTCCAAGTGGCTTTATAAAATTTTGTAGTGAAGCGATCAGGGCCAGCTACCTTATGGTCATCAATAAAGTCCAAGGCAGCTTTAATTTCACCTTCCAATGGAGTGGTATTTAGATTCAGATTATGCACATAATCTTTGCAATCAGAGAAAATTTCCATCATGATTTGAGCTCTAGAAGGAGACTGCTCCTTAAAGATATTTTGAAAGTAATTTACAGCATCTTGGACAATATTCTCAGCATCAGTCAGCATATGGCCAGCAGAATCCTGAATAGATATAATCATGTTGTCTTTCCTTCTAAAGTTAATGCAAGCATGGTAATAACTTGAATTTCTATCTTCTTCCATAAATTTGGTAACAACAGCTTTCTGCTTCAGAAAACATTCTGTGTAACTGGTATGGAGTAACAACTCTTCATTAGCTTGATGGAGGTCAACTTCAGAAATCAAACCCCTTTGGAAGCAATCTTCCATGTTAAGCACTTTACTTTGAGCTTTAATCAAGTTGTCATGTATATTACCAATAGTGTGCCAATTCCACTTCTTCAGCTTAGCTGCCACCTTCTTTTGGAGTTTCCACATATTTGTCCAGGGATTAGTATCACCTTCAGACCTCCAAACCTTACCTACTACTTCCACAAAATGAGGGTGGAGAGTCCACATATTTTGAAACCTAAAGGAGCTTTATATGGGCTTTCAACATTTTTGATTGTGCACAGGAGAGGCCTATGGTTAGAACATGCCATAGCAAAATGAGAAATGACAGTGAATGGGAAGGTTTGAACCCATTTTGAGTTACCAAGCATTCTGTCAAGTCTTTCCCACATGGAACCCCTTCTCCAAGTAAAGTCAGGACCTTGATACCCCAAATAAAATAATTCAGCCTCAGAAAGAAAGTCATTGAATCTATTCATGGCAGAAACAATAGGTGGCCTACCACCTCTTCTTTTAGAAGGAGAAGAGATACAGTGTCACCATCCAAAATCCAAAAGGAGTTCAGAGACTAGCCAATTTGAGTTAACTCAGTCCATAAGGTGGATTGATTAAAGGAAAGACTGCTAGCATAAATGAAGGTAACATATCCAATTTGAGCTCCAATATGAAATTGGATGTGAACAAATTGGGAATAGTATAACAACACAGACCATTGAAGTTCAGCTCTAGCAAAAAGCCTAATTTTATTATTAGTATTGGAGAAATGATCAAATTGAGGGAAATTTTTCTGAAGTTTATGGTTATTTTTAGTAACCAATGGTTCAAGAATGGCAAAACACCACACTTCATGAATTCTCACCAAAATTTTTAATCTCTTTAGAGAGGAGGGGTGAGCAATACACCTAATATTCCAAATAAGGAACTTAATCATTGAGAAAAGGTCCTCCCTTTCCCCCTAGTCATAGGAAGGTGATCCACATTAGAAGGTCCCTCCATAGGCTGTTTATTTTCAACTTTACCTTTTTTCTTCTTACGGCTTCTTTGGACATGCCAATCTTCAGTTAGAACATCTGCCAGACTATTGATAGTATGATCTTCAACCCTAGAGGGGTTTATGTTTAATAAGCTGTCACCTTGTATTATCTTTTCCTTTAAATTATTGTTAATGAATAGTTCTTCCTCTTGCTCCCCGACATTACTACTTGGCACAATCTCAATTATGTTATTTACCTCCACATCAATAGCATCAACACCCCCAGCCAATTCAAAAGCTTTCCCAACTTGCTTGGAATTAGTTGTTCTAGTCCCTGGAGCTCTTTTTTTATTTGGAGGGTGTAGTCTATAGCACTTCTCCACATTATGTCCAAACATTTTATAATGTTGACAATAGACAGGCTTTTGTTCCACAACTATCTTCTGCTAGAAACCTTCCACAGTAGTTCCAATCCAAACCCTATCAATATCAAGAAAAGTAATGTCCCTCTCAACCAGGACTCTAGCTCTAGCTGGTCTGGCCACATTATAAGTGGGGGCATCAATTTTCAGGGGGCAACCAAGCACTCTACTAATGCTGAACAGTACATTCTGATGGAAATACTGAATTGGTAAATTAGGGAATTTGAACCACATTGGAACTACAGAAGGTTCCTTTGTGGGATCAAACTCTGGAGTCCATTTTTGCATTTTCATTGGAACACCATTAATGATCAAATTCTATTTTGCAAACACCCTTGCATAATCTTCTTCATTAAATGAGGAAATCAAAAGGTGCCTTCCATCTATTAAACCCAGTCTCCAAGCTCCTGAAGTTTCAAATCCTCAAAGTAACTCCTTACCAAGTTCATCTTAGGGTGGCCGTACTGAAACTTACCCACCAGAGTAAACTTAACTATTTCATTAAGTTCATTGATTTCTTGGGAAGAAAAGATGATGGCAGATTCCCCTTCCTTCAACCCTAAAGGAATGATAAAGGGGCAAACCCCCCTCCCAGCAGCGGCATCATGAAGACATTGTGGGAAAACCAAGTGGTCAAAGGATTTAGGCACTTCAACACCACTTCCAACAACATCAGCAAAGGTTGCCTTGGTCCATTGGGCATTGGTATCAGCATCAATGGGGAAGGCCATTGGGGAAACACAGCCCAAAGAAACCCAGAACATAAAAGGATGAAAACAGTAACAGGGCTACAAAAGCAAGAAGGAGCACAAAACAAAACAACTACTGAAAGGATGAAAGGACCAAAACAGCACCAAGTTCAGAACTTCAAACAGAAAGAGCAGAGAAAAGCAACAACTTCAGCAAATCAATGTAACAGTAATCCGGTTCAACAAGGGTCTTCCCGGGCAAGACCATAACAAGCTCCACCAACCTCAAGCACCCCTTGAAGAGAAAGCAAGCTTCTATATCCAACCCCACCACTACTCCAAGCAGCTCCATCACCTCCAAAACCCTAGCAGAGCACAACTAGGTCCAGCCGCCACCGTCCTGTTGTTTATATATATATATATAAATATATATATATAGCTCAGAAAAATATGAAATCAAACTAATCACATTTTTTTCATTTGATTTGCTCTGCTAAGGTTTGTGAGCTGATGGGTTCTTGCTAGAAGCGCTGGTGGTGGTGGTGTGTGGGACTGTTGGACAGTAGCTTCAAGTCTATGCTGGTAGAGGTAAGAAGGGAGTTTTAGATTTGGGCCAAGAGTTTACTACTCACTGGTAAGTTTACTACTACATTGGCTTTGGATTTGGTATTATCGGGTTTTCCCTCTGGTTTCTCTTTTGGTTGTCTGGAAAGAAGACATAAATATCTTCTTTTCTGTTAATGGAGTTTCTACCCATTGAAGTGAAAGTTAATGCTCAATGGGCACATGCTACTTATGCTGGTGTGGTTGGCAATGGACAACAACTTCCCAAAACTTTTGATCATCTTATTTTTCTACAAGCTCTTCATGATGCAGCTAATGGAAAAGGGTCCTGGCCCTACATTAACCCCTGAGTTTAAAAGAAGGTGAACCAACCATTCTTTTTACCCCTGGGAAAATTCAATCTTTAAATGTTCACTATTATTGGAAAATTTTAATTTGGATACCCAAAGATGGATAATGTTAGAAAATTCTTTGAAGAATTACATCTTACTGGACCATGGAAGTTGGGTTTAATGGATGGCAGGCATCTTCTAATTAAATTAGAAAATGAAGAGGATTATGCTAGAATTATGGCCAAACAGTCCTTACTCATTGTCGGCACCCCAATGAAGTTGATTAAGTGGACCCCTGATTTTGAGCCAAATAAGGAACCTCCTATTGTTCCTATATGGTTCAAAATGCCCAATCTTCCAATCCAATTTTATCATCAAAATGTACTATTAAATATTGGTCGTGCTCTAGGCTGCTCTTTGAAGGTGGATGCCCCAACATATGACCTTGCAATACCAGTTGGGGCTAGAACTTTAGTAGAAAGGGATATAACACTCCCAGATGTGCATAGGGTGTGGATTGGCACAAAAGGTGAAGGCTTTTGGCAAAACATTGTGGTAGAATAAAGACCTTACTATTGCCCTCTTTGTAAAATGTTTGGGCATACTTTAGAGAAATGTTATATAGGCTTTATCCTCCTGCTAGAAAGGCTTCTAGTCCTCAAAAAGGAGGTGTTGCTGATTAGATGAAAAATCCTCTCCCTCCTGACAAAGGTAATACAACTTTGCAAGATGCTAAGGAGTGGCTCAACAAGTAATACAGGACAGTAATTTGGGTCAAGAGAATGCTTTTGTTCTAAACCAAATACCTGATTAAGGAGAACACACAAAAGTCCAATATTCTGTGGAGGTGGATCAACCATCAATACTAACCTGAAATCTAGAACAAGGGAATGTGCAACTTGAAATCAAACACTAACAAAAAATGATAATATCAGAATTGAAGGAATACAAACGGACCATGGAAATAGTGCAGAAATTCAATTAGATATCAAACCTCAGAAGGTTGATGACCCTACCATAAATGTGATGACAGATATACTTATAGAGGAATGGCAGGTTCAAAAAAGTCAAAAAAAGGAAAAAAGTAGAATGGAACCAAGACAAGTGCAGGACGCTCTCTCTACTGATGGTACTCCCACTCTTCAACATATAGATATGTATCCTAGAACTAGAGGAAAAGGGAAAACCTTTTCACAATGATTAAGTTCTTATTATGGAACATCAGGGGTATTGCCCAACCCTCTTCTCTTAAGAGATTAATTCATTTGGTTAGATCTCATAAAGTTTAGTGCTTTATTGTTTTGGAACTCATGGTCACAAAGCACCTTCAAAGCATTATAAAAAAGTTTCCTTAATTCACTCATTTTGTTAATTTAAATAATAAGATCTGGTTTTTTGCTAGGTCTGAATTTCAGTGGAATGTACTTCAAAATCACTCTCAAATCATCCATATCCAGTTTTCTATTGGGGCCCAAGTGGGTTATGCCACTTTTATTTATGCTAGTTGTATTGTTAGACATCAATTTACCTTATGTTCTGATTTACTGCAAATTAGTCAATCTATCAACTCCTTTTGGATTCTTGGGGGAGATTTTAACTGTGTTGCTACACCTGCTGAAAGAAGAGGGGGCAGACCCCCTCTTAGATCCTTAATGAATAGATTTAATGGTTTTCTCTCTGAAGCTGCCTTATTTGATTTGGGTTATCAAGGTCCTAATTTCACTTGGAGGAGGGGTTCAATGTGGGAAAGTCTTGATAGAATGTTGGGAAACTCAGTATGGCTTCAAACCTTTCCTTTTACTGTTGTTTCTCACCTTGCTATGTCTGGCTCAGATCATAGGCCTCTTATGTGCTCTCTTCATAATACTGAATGCCCTAAGAACTCTCCTTTTAGATTTCAAAATATGTGGGTTCTCCATCATTACTTTCTTGGGGAAGTAAAAAAAGTGTGGATTACTGATAATGAGAAAAATCCCTGGATCAACTTGGGGCATCTCCAAAAAAATGTTGCTTCTCAACTTAAAAAGTGGAATTGGAACAACTTTGGGAATGTTAATGACAACTTGAATGCTACCCAAGATAAGGTTCTTGCTATGGAGATAGGCTTTCAAAAGGGAGAGTATTCTGAAAATGATTTGCATAAAGCCAATGAAGAACTTCTCATGCTAATTAATTATTTTCAAAGCTTTCTAAAACAAAAATCTGTTGTCACCAAATTTACTGAGGGAGATAGGAATTCTAGCTACTA